GGGTGTTGTGTATCCTGGGGTGTTGTGTATCCTGGGGTGTTGTGTATCCTAGGGTGTTGTGTATCCTGGGGTGTTGTGTATCCTGGGGTGTTGTGCATCCTGGGGTGTTGTGCATCCTGGGGTGTTGTGTATCCTGGGGTGTTGTGTACCTTGGGGTGTTGTGTATCCTGGGGTGGTGTGTATTCTGGGGTGGTGTGTATCCTGGGTTGTGGGAGCACCCCAGGCATCCACGGGCAAGGGAAGTAGCAAATCGCCAGTAAGTGTGTCATCTCACATGACAAGAGAGAGTGCTGCTCCTGGGCAACAGCAAAGCATTGCAGTCAAAAGCATGCACAGCTCCCTGGTGGAGGGAGGGCTAACCTCCCCCATGATGAGCACTCACTCCCGTTCTATGCATGGAGTTTCTGCCTGACCACAGCTCTTACGATAGATAGTCTCTATCACCCATCAGGCCTTGTGTTTGGGGAGCCACAGAAGGGAGCCCCTCTTCCACAGTGAGATGTGGTGGAAATCCATCACTGATGCTGTGGAAGTCTCCTCCACTCCTCTACGCTTGCTGTGTCCACAGCAAGCTTATAAGCTCTGCCTTGCAGGCCAGCACTCCCTTCAGTTCCCAGGGACCACTCCAAGCACTGCGTCTACTCATCGCACACGACATTTGCCCAAACCTAGGCTCCCATTGTGAAAGCCAGGAAAGTCTGAGGCTTGCTGGCCACCATAGCTAGCTAGCATGCTCTGAACCCCTTCACATGTGTCCAAATAAATGCTGGTAAGGCGACTTCTGCGCAGAACCAACCCCCTTCACTGTGTGCATGAACCAGAGCCGTCACCCCAGTTTATGGCAGCAGGGCTTCCTCTGTCACTGCTCTCTGACCAAGTCCAGACAGCGGAACCCCATTTCTGGACCACACCAGAGCTTTTGTGTCTCATGCTCATGGGTGGTGTCACCCACGTGGAGCCAGACGTTCCCCTCCTCCCGTCCTCTGTTTGGTTTTGGAGCACTTCCCCCTTCCTCCTTCCCCTGTAGTGCGAGTTCATGTGTGGCTGGTTTTCTTGGGCACAAGGCCCAGGCCAGCTTCAGCTTTGTTTGTTGTTTGTACTGACTGCTCTGAATCAGCCCCGCACTCTGTGGTCAGCCTTCCCTGGAACAGGAGCCCCTACTGAGCTCTGCTCCCACATGGAAGACAGTGCCCACTTCGCTCACAGAAGAGAGAGCAGAACACCCAGCTGCATGCTCCAGGAACCACTAGGTTCTGCCTCAAGCCAATAAAGAAAGTCTAATTAAGAAAACTGTCTGGATCGCGTTGGCCAACTATAGAAACAGAAGTGAAGCAGGCCAGCTGACCACGATTCCTTCACATGTCATGTTAGTGAACTAAAAGGTTAAACCTCAAAGGGCCAAATGGAATCTCTCCCAACCCAGGAGTAATGGATTCCTGCTAGACTTCCATTTCAGGAGCCCAGGGGCTGTGTCTGTCCAGGGTAGGAAACAGCTAGAACTAAAAAGATTTGTTTGTTTGTTTTCAAAAGCTTTAAATAATGTACTATACTATTTTATAATTTTGTCTTATTGCTATTGTTATTAATCTTTTGTTATACCAGGTTTTGCAAAGAGCAACCCACTCCCAGCCCAGTTGTAGACTTAAGTTACCTGCAGAGGGAAGAGGACCCAGAGGTCATCTGCATCCTCTGGGAGGTCAGTCACGCTCCTGTTGACAGGTTGTGACGTGCACAGCAGCTAAGTTCCTCTAGCCTGCGTGTAGGCCTGCACTGGGGCTGGCTGGCCAGGGACAAGCTGCTTGCTTGCTAGCCGTCACCAGGTTTATCTGCCCGAGGGGAGCGATGGTGGAACCCCTTCACTGGCTCAGGTATGGTGAAGAAGAACTGAAGGAGAATAGAGACAGAGAATGTAGAGATCAAAAACAGGCCAGGAAGGTTCGGCCCCGTCAGTCTTGCTGAAGAATTTGGCAAGTCTTTCCAGTTCTCTGTATCTCCTCTAACATCTATAAAATGGGGTTGATAGCCATCCTCTGTGTTAGATACCATTATGAGAACCGAAATAATAAAACCACAGTGTGTATGCTGGGAAGGAGGACATTAGTCATACATGTTTAACAAATCAGTGTACTTTCTGTATAATGAGTATTCAGAAACACTTGCTGTGGTCACTGTTCACATTTTAGTTACATAGTAATTATCTTGGCCCCACTAACACCATCTCACTGTGGTATCTCTGGACTTTGCACAGTTGATCCTGTATACCCCTCCCTTCTTGTTGAAACACGGTCTCCTTGGCATCTGAGGTTCCACACATTCTGGTTCTCTAGAAAATTCTCCACTCATTTTCTGTTTATCTTTATCATATACATACTTCATTTGCTACTATCCCCCAGGTCCTGACTTCATCAACATGTTCTGCACACTGCACTGGGAGGCCATCGTATCCAGTTAGTCTGCCTCAGAAAGTGTCTTCTCACTCCACTTAGCTCATCTTCTCAGCCTGGGTCCCCAGAGCATCTGAGCATAGCTGAAGATCTCCCAGGGCAAAGAACATGGTCCTCACCTGAGCCAATTGCTCTCCCCTTCCACTGTGTGTTTTGTTAGAGGGAATCCTCACCCCACCGATGACCTAGACTAGATAGCAAGAAGTAGGTTTCCCCTCACGCCTACTGGCTTGTGTTCCTCAAATTCGTTGCTGACCCCCACTGCGCTAAAGCCACCTTTACATCTCCTGTCAGGCTGCTTGCTTGGTCTCACTTTTCTTCACCAGCCTTGGCATTCTTTTCCAGTAAAGTTTTCTAAGTACCAAGCAGTCTGTTTCCCTCAGGATGCAAGCCTCCCTGGAGACTTCTTGTTTTCTAGACTAAAGAAGACTTTATATCATAGCAGGATTTGGTCAGTTCACTTCTTCTTCCACCTCTCCATACCTGTCTCCAGTCACTAGACCAGTGAACAGGACACTTCTTCATCCAAACTGGATTTTGCCTGGAGCCTGCCTTAGTGATCATAATCTCAGATACATGACTGTCAGTCATCTTCGGCATCCTCTGGCTCTCCCCATCATACACCTTCCTTTCCATGTACAAGTTGAACTCTACTCTGCTTTGGTTTTCTGTAAATTAAATATCTAAAAAGTGACTTATTTCACTTCTCTATCTCCAAATGCTAACATGACTGTCCCTTTCTGTCACCTTCAGTTCAAGTGCTGGCCATTGACTCAATCACTGTGACTTAATCTTTTGTTCTCTAACTTCGTATTTAAGGACACATCCAGAGTCCAGGATGACCTCCCTGTTTTGAGGCCAGCTGGTCAGAACTTGAATTTCTCTCTGATATGCAGTAGAAATTTTTCTTAATTTTTTGGGCCTAAGATGTGTACATCTTTGGACAAGCTGTTAGTCTATCTACTACAAACGTCCCTTTCATGTTCATGTAAAATCGTGTGCTGTCATTCCATGTAGCAAAGATGGCCCCAAGCATCTGTGTGTTGGTCAGTTGCCCTGCTTTTTCTTTGACTTCCTGAGGATCTCATCATCCTTGACTCCCTGTTTTAAGAGCAAATTGTTCCTAAGTAAGTGTTTAAAATAATCCAGGTTATCCAAATAGCTAGTGGTACCCTAGCATCTCTACAAGAATAAGCCCAGAGGAGGGATTAGCTAGCAATCCGTAATTCATTTTAATGACTGCTGTTTGTGAGTATTTCCAGCCAATGTGTACAGACAACTTCATTACTTCCTTCATTGTAGCCAGCATTTTCTGTCTCATGTCAGGCATGGTTCCAAGTCCTTTTCATGTAGGAGTTGATTTAGTTTTACAACCAATTTCTGAGACAAGCATAATTATTGTTGGACACTTCATGAATATAGAAACTGAGGCATCTGAGATTGAAAAGCTTGCCCAATGTCAGACAGCTTTGTCTACAGGAACTCTGAGTTAACCATGGACATGGACGTGCTGCCAACACAAACAGTCTCTCTGCCAGCTACACAAATGGGAGGGTCATTGTAGTTAATTTCAAATTTTATTTGTTTCTCATGAAACCCAATAGCCTTTAGCTACATGGATTTAAGAAGAGAACTCAGTGAATTAGCTGGCTCCATCTGAGATTTTTCAAAGAACCAACTTCTAAGACACATAGGCTGTGGGCTTCAAGCATAGAAATGAGCCTGCGTATTATCTTTCAAAGCCACCTTGGTCTTTGGGAAAATCCTTGGGTCTAATGGTGAATCATCCCATGATCGCCCTGTCAGCTTGATGAGAGTCAGTCCCAGGGGAAGGCCATTGTGCCAGGGAGGAGGGATGGCAGGAAGAAGAGCATTAAATCTGGGTTTGCTTGCAGTTTCTGCCTTTGATGCTGTCTCTAGGGGCACGGAGATCGCCTCCTCTCAGTCAACAATTCTATGTCTCCTCCACAGTTCTGAAGGGGGAGAGCCCTTTAAGGCATTTTGTACTGACAAGCCCATTTCTCTCAGGGCCCTAGAATGTAATAGAAGCCATCAAGGGCAAAGGATATTAGGCTGTTCTCTGTGATGGCAACAGAATTCATAAGTTTCTCCGCAGCTCCCTCCTCCTATCAGCAGCTCAGTAAGTGGCATGGCAAAGGACGAATGTGTGTCTTGGCTAGTCTGAGTGACTGAGTGTTTAGAGGGTGGTACTGTTTATCCCCAAACAACTTCGTTTACAAAGGTGGTGGTGTTTGTCCAGAGCCCATGCTAAACTAACCTAGGGAAGTGAGGGAAAGGCCTGACGGATAGGAAGCTTTTATGAACACCCTCATTTACCCTCAGCCTGGAGGTAGGAAGGAAAGAGTTTTCACTCAATAGACATTGAGGGGAAGACCTACTTCATTTCCTCAAGTGGGGAGCTCTGTGGCCAGATGCATTGCAAAGAGTAATAGTGCTGAGAGGGCGTGCTCTCCCCGTTTTCTGTTGTTGGCAATTTTACACATCCTGAAGGAGTTAACTGAATTACTTTTCCATAATTAACTTAAAATTGCTTTGAAGCCAAATTTAACCTGATTTTACTTTATTTTCTTTCAGTGTGATCCAATGCAAATGTCTTTAGCTTTTTAAAAATCAAAACCAAATATACTTATTTGAAAGTCTGTAGAAACATAGTTTCAATAGAAACTAACTACTGTTAGCCCATGCTCCATCCACAAGAACACTATTAACACAGGCTCTGCCATTCCAGACTTTTCTTCAGGCAGGTGTCTATGTACATTCTTCCCCAGACTGCAATCACCGAGAACATTCTTCTCTGTGATGGCTTAGGCATTGCTCTTTTTCCCCCAACCCAGGCTTCACTGCCGGTGTCCTCAATGTAGAGGCAGAGTTAGTGTCTTTGCACAGAAGGCCTGAGAGCCCTTGTTCCTCCCATCCTATGAGGACACGATGACAAGATGCCCTGTGTTCCAGCAAGCAGGTGCGCACTTTGACTTTGAACAGTGCAGCCTATGAAAGCTTTACAGATTGACTTCTGCTGTTTCTAAGCCACTGTGTTTGGCATTTGAGACCAGCAGCCCAAGTGGGCTGAGAGACTTTTCAGTAGTTCTGTAAGGTTGCTTAGTGACAATGGGGTCCCCTCAGGTTGTATTTGGTTTTCCTCTCCTTGGAGGGAGGGCAAAAGAAGTCATTTTCCTGGAATGGATACATAAAAGTATGAATGTTCTTTGTAGATATGAGGATATCCACACTTAATGAAGTGATGAATGTTTGCTTACTTACCCTCCAAAAGATTCACCAAATCCCAGAATTTCCACACTTTCTGTTTCCCTTGTTCCTATAACTAATGTTCACAAGCTTGCTGACTTAAAACAGACTTTTTTCTTATATTTGCAAACATATGTCTGTGTGTGTATGTTTGTTTGTGTGTAGGAATGTGGGCACCCATTTCCCATGGCACATGTGTAGAGAGCAGAGGACAACCTCAGCTGTCTATCCTCCCCTTCTTCCTGGTTTGAGACAAGCTCTCTTGTTCTCCACTCTATACACCAAGCTGGATGGTCATGATTCTCTGGGGATGGATTACACGTGTGTGCTGCTATGTCTGGCTTTGTGTGGATTCTGGGGAACTGAACACAGGTCTTCATGCTTGCCTGGCAAGCACTTCCCCAATGCACCTGTCTCCTCAGCTCACGTTCACACCTTTCATCTTGCAGTTGGAGAGGTCGGTAGTCTTCAAATGAATACTACTAGGTTAAATGAAACTCTCATCAGGACAACATCCCTCCCTAAACTCCAGGAGAAAACTGCCTCTTTGTTTTATATAGCTTGGGGAGGTTGTCCAAGTTTCTTGGCTTATGTCCCCATGCCTTTTATGAAATCCAGCAGTTTTCCTGGTGTGGTGGCATGTGCCTGCAATCCCAGCACTGGGGAGGATGAGGCAGGAGGACTGTGGGTTCTGAGTCCCTCTGAGTTCATCATGAATTCCAGGCCAAGGCGAGCCTGGAGTACACAGAGAGCCCTTGCCTAGAGGAAACGGAAGTGTCAGCAACACTGGGCTGCCTTACTACCACCTCTGCAGTAAGTTCCCATTCTGACTCCACCTTTAAGGGCCCCTGTGGTAACAATGGAGCAAGTTGCAAAATGCATGGTAGTTAGCAACCTTCATTACACCTGCAACTCCGTAACTAAGTACTCCTGGATTTGGGTAATAGGACAGTGACAGCTTTGGAGGACCCTGGCCTCCCTACTAGACATGACTGGAGGTTCTAGACCTTCTAAATTTAAATTTAAAATATTTATTGCATTATATTTTGAAATTTTGATTAGAATGAATGTAGGCATCTTTTTATTGTCTTTTTTCCGTGATGACAGTTAACAGCTTTTCCCTTATTCCATTTCATAATTATTTGTTGGAGTTGTGTGTGTCTGATAAATGCTAGTGTAGGTTGTAAGCCTTATATTTTATTTTACTTTTTGATGTCATGGTTTTTGAGTTTATTTATCATCTGTCCAGAAAGTTAGGAACATGTATGCATACATTCCTCAGTCTTTTCCTCTGGCTTTGCTGTTGTATCTTTGAGTTAAGCAGCTGGGACTATGGCTTAAACTGTGCGCCCCACTAACATTGAGAACTTAACTTCCCTATGTGGGGGAAGGAGGGGAAGTTCCTGCCTCTGAGTCAGGTGCTGGGAGTGGTGTGCCCTTGAGGACTTGGGCGTGCTAAACCACAAAGGTGTTTTCCTCCTTTTGGAAGGCTCTGAAAACCTCACTTCTTCCCCAAAGATTCTTAAGAATACACAGGTGAGAGAACTTCCTGCTTCTGACCTTATGGACTCCTCAGTTGCTCACAGCAGGTCACAGTGAGTAGCTATTGAGAAAGTCCTGAATGTGAATGGCTAATTGGACTTTATCACATGGAGCACCTGTGTTTACCCAGACTTCCTGTGCAAAGGGCTGTTGGGGCCATTAGGACACCAAGGAGATGCATCCTAACTCAGGAAGGTCAACAGTTCTACTCATTGGTGACCCTCCCAGAGAGCGACTACCAGTGAATTGGCTTCAGTGCCAGGTCCACCATCCACCATTATCATCATTCTCTAGCCTGATGTGCTACCTACTCTGTCCCTTGGTCTTTCTACGTGCAAACTAGCTCCTTCACCCTTCCACCTGTCTCTCAGATCTGCCTCCAAATTCGTCAACTCTGGTTCAGTCTCTTCTTGCTTTTGTACGATGTCGAGCTTTACAGTGGTATTGGAGGGTGGGAATCCCAGTCTAGGCCCTTCCTGCTTCAACTTGTTGGAGGTTATTCTGTAGGAGATGCAACGGCTTCCTTTTGTAAAGAAATTTGTTACTATTGAGGTTTTTTTCTCCAATGGAGTTGTTTAGTTTGTCCAAACTCAGGAGCTTCCTGGGTAGGAGTAAACTCTGTGTGAGCTGCAAGTTAAATAGTTACTCCTGTATTTGGCTAAATATATAATAAAAGCCAAAGCATTAAATATAATAATGGCATAGAATTAATAGCTCATCTTTTCCAGTATTTACGTTATAATATCCAGCAATGACTATAGAAGTATAATATTGAAATTGGTTATATACATATTGCTGAAATAAAGATATTTTCATAATTTTGATTGTTTTAGGTCTATGTCAAATACTTTGAGAACAGTTTTATGTTCACACATATATATGCATGTGTGTCTTCAGTCATTATATCAGATTCCTTGAAACATATATTTAATGATAATTTTCATCGAATTCTAGTTGATCCAAAGATTTAAAACACTTGAGTTTGTATTCCACAAACCACCTTTCGTAATCTTTTAGCAAATCTAAACAGAATTTCCAATCCCTTTCTCTACTGGAGAGACTGTGGCATCTCTCACAGAATTTTTGAAGAGTAGGTAGCTCTGCCATGGAGGCATAGGTTGGTGTATAGACAAGATAAGGTCACTGTACAGTGTGTGCACTGAGGCTAAAGGCACTCTGTCTGCTCCAGGATAAGCAGCTTTACCCATGTGATTGTGTGTATTTGTAGCATGTGTGTTTCACAGTCCACTGAGAAATAGAAAAATAACCACAGAGCACCACCAAAGTCATGCTAGCTTCCTCCAGGGGGCTTCCTCCTCTGAGATATGAGATGGAGTAACCCAAATACTGATCAGGAGGTGAATTGGTAAACACACTGAGCTGGACATAGATGATAGAATGTTATATATTATGCTCACTCTTAAGAAAAAAAATTCTTATGCATGCTGTAGTATGGCGGAATCTTGAAGACATTAAGGGAATTAGGTCAGACACAAGACAAGCTATGATCCAGGTAATGGGAATCACCTGGAGGCTCCTAGAGAGGTGATTGGTGGTCACAGAATCTGTAAGGAGGAGAGAGAAAGTGATGGTAAAGGGATGAAGTTGAACAAGTTTTGGAGATGAAATGCTATGACAGCCGTACGACAGCGTGGATATACTTAATGACACTGCTCGCATATCTAAAAGTGGCTAAGAAGATAAATCTTACGTAATGTATATTTTACACAATCCTAATAAGATACACACTTTTAGAATCTTGTCATGTCTGGGGCAAAAGGAATGTACACAGATTAGTTCAGATCTACTACAGAGCCAACAAAGAAGGCTTATGTGCAGAAGTTACTGGGAAGAACATGGCCACGTCAGCCCATGCTGAGATAAACGCCTGGGAAATGCTTTTGGCTCACACAAAGCACACATCTCTACTCTGCGCTGTTCTCCTGAAGTCATGGTTGCACCCCTCTCATGTAGGTGAGAGGTGAAGCAATGTGGGCTGTCAGTGGTCCATCTGGCATCGGGCCTTTAACCCCAGCCCTTGGGCACCTGCTCTGTGTTGCAGTCTTCCATAATCCACCTTAGCCAGACCTACCTTCAGCCTGTACATCTCCCCACCTCTTCATGAAATACACATGAGGGCAGTAGTACTGGCAAAGAGACTGGGGTTTCCCATCAGCTCAGCTTTTACAAACAAGAATGAGGTGGGTTCAGAGGATGCTTTCACCAAGAAGAATGGAATGTGCCTAAGTTGTTTTCTTGATTTCTATTAGTGTAGATCAAGCACACTATGGAGTTTTTAAGAATGAGAAAATTGCAGCATAGAATTGGCAGCGTCCCTGAGCAGAGGATGATTTTTGTTTCAATGTCGAAAATAAAGTGCTAACCAACAATAACTGACTATTGGAATGGATGTCCCGTAGAGTAAGCTTACCAATGTTCCAAGAATCTCATCTCAAATGCCAGGCCCACCATAGAGGAACTGTTCCTTCCACTGCAGGAAGTGAGCAGAAAGGTTCAGCAGGTTTCTTGGCCAAGATCCTCTGCAATCAGGAAATCTGTGCTGTCTGTGGTTCTGAGAGGAAAAGTTGACATTGGCATTCAATTAGCTTTCTTTTGGAAGAGTTTCATTGGAAAGGTGACTCTGAGAAGCTGTGACCACTCCATGGTTCCTGCAGCGTCTGTGAGGAGAGAAGAGATCCATGCTATCCTGAGCCTCTGTTCTCAGAGTGGACCTCTAGTCCTTCACAGAAAGAGTTTTCTTGTCCACGTCCTTAATCTTGTTTATTATAGGGGATAACAAACACACCAAAGTACTTAGAAAATTAGTGTTAACCTGTGTCTGACTTCATTAATGTCACTCTCTACTGATTGGTTGTTGTTGGTGGTGGTGGTAGTGGTGGTGGTGGTGGTGGTGGTGTGTGTGTGTGTGTGTGTGTGTGTGTGTGTGTGTGTGTTTTCCTATCTGAAAACACTAAAGACACGAATAACAAATGAAAATTTAATTGTTCTTGTTGGTACCTTCAAAATCTATGTAATCTTTCTTGCATTATCCAATATAGTAGTAACTAACTACATGTGACTATAATTAAAATGAAATGAAATGTAAAATTCAGTTTGTTGGTTGATTGGTTGGTTGGTCTTACATACATGATTACTCAGTAGCTACATATAGCTTGTAGAAACCATACTAAAAGGTGCATATGTAAAAATTTCCATCAGCAGCAGGGAATTCTCTACCTGGTATTATTATAGACCTTTCAAAGCTGAACATGCTTACTTTAGAGACATTCATCTTGGGCTCTGTACCATGGTGGTCATGTGGTAGTGATATGAGAGCACCCCATTTATACCAACAAAACTGCCACCTTTTGAGTGGGGCTCAGATAGTCCATAGTCTCCTCCTAGGAGCATCAATAAGGAGACTTGCACCTCACTGATGTCTGCACTTTGGTTTGAGCTCTGTATTATCTACAGCAGCAGCCTATGAGTAGACCGAAACATGGCCATCGCCTCAGGTGGGTGATGCTTCTGGAAGGAGGTCCTTTTCCTAGATCATCTGGTTCTTCTCCCTCAAGCAATAATTCTCAGCTACACCTGTGTACACTGTCAGTTGCTGAGACAAACACCAAACAGAAGCAGCTGAAGAGAGGCAAGATCTATTTGGCTGGCAGTCTCAGGGGATTTCTTCATCACAGGAAAAGACATGGAGAAGGAACTTCGCTCGTGGTGAGAGAGCATGTATTCACATTGCAGCAGGTCAGGAAGCAGTGAGGGCTGGGGAAATGTTTCAAAAGCCTATACCTAGTGGACTCCTTCTGTCAGACCCCTCACTTCCTCAACGTCCACAACGGCCCCACCAACAAAAGAAAATTAGTACAACCAACCAGGACCCCGATGTTCAAAACATGAGCCTGTGGGTACCATTTCAAATTCAAAGCATACTAACATACGTGAATCATCTGGAAGGCTTCTGATTCTCCAGAAGCTTGGGCCCCATCCCCAGAGACCCCGAATCCATGCCTTTGTGTGCAGCCAAGATCTTTAGAAACACTCCCACCTTAACACAGACTTCAGTGAGACTGAGAACCAACACTCGGGGGCCTGTTCTGGGCCCTGTTTTTCCCTCCCCAGCGTCTGAGGCCTTGGGCCATCCACAAGTAGCCAGTGGTGACTGAGCACTGTGGAGGGAGGCAGGCTACGCTGGCTTGATCCCGCCGGCTTATCGACCAGTGCCAGTGCGGTGGCGTCTGTGAATAAGCCACTCCCTCTCTGGAGCCGCTTATCCAATGGGAGTGCTGGGTTTCTGTGGCCCTCTCAGGCGTCCAGTCTGAAATACTAGGTTCTGTGATACCTGAGAAAATAGAACCCTTTCTTTCCTAATTGTGGGAGAAAATCTTTTCTGTCTTCATATCTTAGCTTGTTCCTTTGTACTTGGTATTCCTCAAACAGTCCTGAACCAGCCCTAACCAGACCATGCTTGTTTAGAGACATGTTGGTTGGCAATTTCATGCATCAAATTCAGCCTATTTAAGGGTGTCAATGTGGAGCTACACTGGCTGTGGAATCACCACTCATGTTTGAGATGACTGAGAAGGTTCTACTTGGCCCCATAGTAAACCTCTTTTTTTTTCAAGACCTCTTTTTTTTCTTTATTCAAATTTCCCAGTTTTTTTTCCCTTTGTGTAGTCACTTCAGTAGTTTCTAAAAGTGATCTGTGAAGTCACATAATGGGCACTATGGTGACAGTATTCATCATTCTAATCTGATAATGAATTTTCTCCCTCCTGTCTTTCACACTTAAAGCCCGCCTCCTACTTCCCCTAATGGGCCCATGCTTCACAGCGTTGTTAGAAGTGAAGTCCACCCTCTTGGCCCATCAGAGACAGTGATGGGATAGCGCCCTTCAAGGTGACAGTGTTTGTGACAGCAGGCAGAGGGGCAAGTGTGCTCACTGGCGAAGATAAGAAATGTGCTATCGTTTGGTTTGTGGGTTTCATCACTGAAACTGCTTATGACTTCAAATTGTCCATGAATCACCCTGTAAGTGCCTTAGAATAGGAAAGTGCTTGCCAGCCAGCACTTGACTCCAGTGTTAGAATATTTCACAACCTCTGTGTCTGCTGGGCTCTGCTGTTAACCCATCATCAAGCATCTAAGCCTCTTGCTTCACAGACCCTTTTCCGGCCTCACGGAGGCAGCTTCAGCCTCTGAGCACAGTGCCATGGCTCAGTAGCTCATCTGTGAATCCCATTGGCCTTCCACCATAGCATAGCCAACTGAACTGCATGGAGACCCTGGGATGCTGCCCACCTTGGGACTGACTTGCACAGTCTCTTTGGTCTTGGAAACTCTCCAATCCAGGGATGCCCAATAAACATACACCCAGATACATATATACAGGGACACAGGTGTTCAATAAATATAAGCCCAGAGACAAATCCAGATAGATGAAATGTGAAATTTTATAGCATCACAATAGAGGGAAAATTTTAAACAGATGAAATAATTCCACACATAGATAGTCATCCTTCACTTCCCACACAGGATGGGTTCTAAGGGTCTCCAAAGATACCAGGACCTGTGGATGGTCCAGTCTCTTATATTAAACAGATCAGTGTTCCCATAAACCCAGGCCGGCTCTCATATGCTCCAGCTCACTAGCAGGTTACTTACCTCAGTGCCACCTATGTTCTGTCAAAAAGTTGTCATACTATATAGTTTAGGAGGCAAGGAAAAAGCATGTGGGCTTCTCCAAATATTTTCTACCTGTGGCTGGTTGGTTTTGCAGAGATGTACAGGGCCAGTTCAGCATTTTCCATCATCATCATCATCACCAATGGAAAATCTGCTATAGTTTTTCCTATGAAATCTTGAAAATTCAATGTACATTTTATGTTATGTCTCCATCTGGACAGGAACATGTCAAGATGAGGTGAGACCAATGGCTTCAGGCCCGAGACAGGATGCATTTCTCCCACCTTTTACACAAGGCTGATCCCAGCTCTTACCATAAGACACAGACCATGAGCCCCCTGTATAAAGGAAGCTGTCTCTAACCTTTGCTCCCAGCGCCACCACTCAGTGGCTGTCAGTGTTAGAACTACCTGGAGATTTGTTTTTTAAGCTCAAATGTCAGACATTGCTCCAGACCAGTTCCAGATTCTCGCTGGGACCCAGATTCTAACAATCAGGGCATCTGTGTGTGCTGATCTCCCTGAACCAGGACTTTGGCCCATTGAGAATCATCTGACCCAGCAAATGTGTTTTAGCTGAGGAGTTCTAGGTAGAGCAGATGCAGAATACAGATGTGTGGATGATGCTTATCTGCACTATAAGGGACAAGGAAACAAGCAGGACCCAGTGGGGATGGGGTGGGGGGTGCTGCTCATTGAGGAGATAATCAGAAAGGTCTGTCCTATCCAGGGATTCTGAGAAGGTGGGGTGCTGGAGGGGCACTCTGTGTTCATCAGCTAACACTGATGTGGGCAAGCAGCTCCTATATCCTGTGATATTCAGCAACAGACTTGTTTTCTCTGGGTGCCTGGGCTTTGGGGGCTTTGCAGAACATGGTGGGAACATCTGGACTTAGCCCAGGTTTGTGACTGGCCTTGGATTTTCTCTGCATGTCTCCTCACTCTGGGACCTGCAGATGCCTCTTGTCATGTTCTTATGATAGCAGAAGTATTAGATATAAAAGAGAACACACAGAGAAACTTGGGCCAGGCATCCTTTAATTAACTATTTCTATGGTTAATTTGCCATTAACCAATCAAGTCCCCTGCCTGAGTCCAACAGCAGAGTGGAGAAGTCCCCTGGGAACCACTGAAGGGCAGGAGAGGACGGTAGGAACCAGTCATCCACTTCTTATGAAGGCAGGAATTCTAAGCTGGTCAGCCTTTGTATGGAAGCTGGACACAGTGGGATTTTTGAGAACCATTTCTCAGAGCTCTCTTGGCCCTGTGTCTGTGTTTGTCTCCACTGTGCATCTTCTCAGGCCCAGAAAATACCACTCTGTGCTCACAAGCTCTCCATACTCACCCCTGAGAACTTGGTCCTCACTTATTCAACTCTGATTTTTTTTAACTCCCTGGTTTTTTATATTCATTTTACAAAGTTTTTTTTTTTATTTTTCTGTGTTAATTTGAATATATGCCACAGGGTTACAGGGACTTGCAGAGGAGTCCAGGCTATTGTGAGCTGCTCATCAAGGGTGCTGGGACTCAAATGTCAGTCTAGGTTTGATTTTATTTTATCTTTTGTCATTATTATTCTTATTATCACTATCAACATCATCATTATTAAATACCTGTTTATTTGCTAATGAGAGAGAGAAAAAGAATGTGGATTTAAGTGGTGGAGAAATGGGAAAGATTTGAGAGAAAATGGAGGAGGAAAAACCATAATCAGATTATATTGTATGATGGAAAATCTATTTTCAATTAAAACAAAACAAAAATTATCCAAAATTGTGTCCTCCACAAGAGTAGTACCTGTTCTTAACCACTGAACAATCTTTCCCACTCTGTACTTATTTTGTAATGAAAATATGACAAGTCATTCAAGATTCTTACACAGTATTTCTTCTAAAAACAATGCCCAGCATTCTTTGCTTCTCTGTGTGATGTCTTAGAACACAATAACCACAAATAACGTAACTCACTGTTTTTAATACTTAACTCACTACCCAAACTTTCTAGAAGTTAACCATATGTGCTGTCACCACAGAAGAATTCCTTTGCTTGGCTTCTTTCATCAGAGGCCACACTTAGGTAGACATATTCAATATCCATTCTATTTCCTAGATGCCCTGCATGGGCAGTGGTGTGGCCCATCTTGTTTATGACTGAATCTGCAAGCCCAGTCTGAGCGATCTACATATCACAGCCCCATAATTAATTTTGGCCCAATTGGATGAATTTTCCTTGAAAGGACAGCAAAGTTAAAGGCACATGTTAGATTTTATATGAAGCCAGGCATCCCTAGATCATATATCCTATCAAAGGCTCAGTTTCCCCCTCCGTAAACTACAGTTTACAATATGATGTTTCCCATCCTGGCCTTAGGAGCTGATTAGTATAAAAGCCTTAAGGTCTAGTCACATCATAAAATACTAAAAAGCAATAGACTTGGTCTGTAGGACAGGAATATAAGAGACCAAACTGGAGTAAAATGTAACAGGAGGGATCTCACTGTAAAGGAAATTTCATTTCCACTCACCTTCCATTTTCCTTCTCTTGGTAACTAGGGGGCTAGTTAAGGTTATTATTGGGTTACCAAGCTACTCAAAGAGAGTTGAGAGCAGAAGAAGATTTGAAAGCTGAGGGAAGTACAAAGTTTGCCCGAGCTCTGTTTCCCAGTCACCCAGATGGTAACAGATACCTTGATGGTCAGTGGTGGCTGTGCAATATGACCACATTGCATCTGCTCACTGCTCTATCCTCTGGCTTGTGACATACATGGAATCAAGAACACTCAGCAGTACATAGACTGTATTTTGGTTGCATCCGGCATGGCAAGCATTTCATAAACTAGAAACATAAGCTCCACATCCAACCCTGGGTATCTTTTCCAAATGGGTAAGACTTGGGAAAAGTCATGGAGGCAATGAGAACAGGGACATGAATGCACACATGCAAGAATTAATATTCTGATTACTGAAGGTGGTGGGAAGCAAGTAAAGTGTGTCTCTATTCAAGATGAGTAATGATGATAACCAGAGCCAGATGTGCACCTCAGGGGAGAGCCTGGAGGAGTTGGTGAACTCACTTGCACAGAGTATACAGGGCTTAAAATTTCTAGGCATGAGAGCAGAGGAAAAGCTGCAGGCAGGTGACAAGGGCTCAGCTTTGTACCTCATGGAGGCCAGTGGGGAGAGCAGGCAGTGGCAATCTCCAAGCAGTCACTTAGAAGTAGGGTCTCAGACCCCCTACAAAATCATCTGATTCACTCAGAAACCACCAATGAGCCGTTAATAAGATGCCTTACAGCCGGGCGGTGGTGGCGCACGCCTTTAATCCCAGCACTCGGGAGGCAGAGCCAGGCGGATCTCTGTGAGTTCGAGGCCAGCCTGGGCTACCAAGTGAGTTCCAGGAAAGGTGCAAAGCTATACAGAGAAACCCTGTCTCAAAAAACCAAAAAAAAAAAAAATGCCTTACATCTGAGAAGGGATTAATGTCTAGAATATATAAGTAACTCAAAAGTACTCAGCAAAACAGAACAAAATCAAAACCAAGT